AAAAACTTAACGAAAATATGATCATTGATTTTTTGGAAGTGGGGAGGCAGTATCTAAAGCGAAATTCTAACATAGTGTGCTTCTTCTTTCCCCTGTAAAGTATTTCGCCTCAAATTTCTTCTCAGTAAAGTTTGAGAGAGTAATAAACTTGTCTGCAAAGTCCAGTTGGACAAAATATTTGTACTGTAATAGAAATAGTGTTTCCTTTGATTTATTATTCTTTGCACTCGCTACTAGCTTTCTTTATTTGCTCTGAATTTCTCTCCTCTTGCATAACGCGTTGATAACATTCGAGGACTTGAGATCCATCTAAGTCAACTAATTTCGTAACTTTTTCACCTTGTTCTAACATTAAATCTTCAATAGTGGTTCTTCCATCACGAAAGAATCCCAGGTGGTCGGCAATTAAATGACGATTTAGGCACGAAGGGCATTGAATTAATACCACCCCACGTTCATAAGCATGCTTTGACATTGTTTTTGTCGAACGATGCAAGCAAACCTTACATGTGAAAGATATTAGAAGGCGACGGTTCGCGACGTGCTCATGATCTAAACGCGCAGAAGTTACATCAGAATCCTTTGGAGATAATTCTGAGTTTGATGAGGAAGAATTGTATTTGTCTTTGAGATGAAAATTAGTGTGGAAATTGGACCTTAACAACGTCGGCTTAAATTGAAGAAGTGAAGGTTTAGGTAGTCGATGCAAAAATCGCATTGATAAGACAGTCGAAGACTTTTGGAACATTTCGATAACACTGTTGTTCCTTTGAGAACATCGAACTTATTAAATCCTGATCTATTGGTCGCACCAAAAACTCAATCCCACAATTTGGCATTTTTTCAAAAACGCCATCTATATAAATTATAAGGCTGACATTAATATTGCCTCAAATTAATGAGTAAGGATAATATAGGATTTGGGTGATACCTTATCCACCATATACTTTAAGTATATGTAGGTTCACCAATATTTGGCGGGATATAGGTCGGCCTTGGATGTTCTTCGCCTACTTTGCGAGGTTCGTTCATGTTGCTGATCTCCCGATTTTTTTTTTTTTTTTTTTACTTACAGTATATTCGCGCTTGATCTACAATACGTAATGCGTTGTAATATTTTTTTTTTAAAACAGGTTCATTTTGCTCTTTTTCGGGTTAGTTTAGTAAATATATTATATTTAATAACTTTATATTGTTAGATTATTAGATTACTTAAAAAAAAATTTTTTTTTAAAATAGTTTTTTTTTTCTCTTTCCTTTTTTCTTGTCTTCATGCTCATATGTGTAATTACAGTATATAGCAAATAAAATTTAAGTTGCATTGATATTATATAACTTATTTTATATGTTCAAAAAATATTTTGGTTAAGAAAACATAAACAAATCAGAATTTTATATATAATAATAATTTAAAACAAAGAAATTTTTGTTATAAGCAATAATAATATCTAGAAAATATTATTTTATTTTATAATAAACCTTAAATAAGATTTTTTTAATTCTTATATTATTTTCAATAAATTGTTCCTATTATACTGTATATTCTATTAAACTATTAAAATATAGGAAATTATAAAAAAAATAGATTATAAAAAAAAAAAAATATATATATATATATAGTATATTTAAAAATATAAAAATATATAAAAATAATAATATATAATAATAATAAAATAATTTTTTTTTTAACTTTTATTAATTATCTTAAAAAATATTCTATTAAAAAATATATATTTTAATTATTTGAAAAATTTATTTATTCATAATTTTGATTTTTTTTTTTTTTTATATACAGTATACTATTTAAAAAGATTTATTATTTACTAAAAATCTTTATTTTTAGAAATATATTTAGTTTTAATTTATTTTGAATAGTAATTTTATATTTATTTATAATATAATAATTATTTTTAAATATTTATATAATTTAATAAAAATTATTATATTATATTAGTATAATATATA